TTATGGAAAGGATACAAGTGTGAGCAGGGGTAAGGAGTGACAGACTGATGGAAAGCAAGAGAGAAAAAAGTGTGTTAGTGAGTACACTGCAAGTTACCTTTGTTGTTGTAATACAAGAAGCAGAAGCAGTGGGTAGAACAGCCCAACGCACTGAATCTGTAGGACAGACCGGGTCTACAGCACACACAGCCTGTCTTTCAACGTTTCTCAGTAGGAACACAAAGTGCCTGTGGCCACATATGGTGGATATAAACTTCAGCAGTATTCACAGGTTGCTCTGAGAGTACGTCCACACTAGCAAGGCTAAATCTGAAAATATACTTTTTCTCTCAGCTCCGTCTTCAGATTGGATAAATCTAAAACACCAGCTTAGGTGTATATGGTTCAAACAAAAGGCTTGTCAAATCAGCATCAAAGAACAGCGCCTGGAAAAATTCATTCCCCACACCTTTTCAGAGCTGAACTGTGGGTGCACCCCCTGGCAAAACGTGCAGCTTTCTGTAACCAACAATCTGATGGCATGTGTACTTCACACAGCGACTGGCCAGGTGCGAGGAGGTCAGGAAGAAAAGTTGTTTTCATTCTGTTTCAGTCAATTTTCATATGACCCAGATACAAGTGGGTGCAGCACCATGAATGTTGAAATCCAGTCTAACAGTGTGCACCCCCTATTCCCATCTGAATAACTGTCGCATCTCGGCCCCCCATTAAGTCAGCCTTGTAATCCTGCCTTTGAGTGTGGCTATCTGGAGCAACTATAAACATCTTTGCCTCAGATGGAGTCTGATGACATGTCATATGATCCATTTTGTTTGAGATAAACTGGATCTCTAGTTAAGATGGGGAAATCGGAGCTTTTAGAAAATGATCATGTAAACCAGATCAGACATGTTGGCACCAGTGTGGCAGCAAAGTTCAAAAGCCAAGGTTTCTATGGAATCAAATCTGCTCTGGGAACATGTTATTTGACTGTCACATAATACAGGTGTTGATACCTCAGTGTCTTTATGCTTATTTTAGTAAAGTGTTGACTTGATCATGCACTGCAGCAAAGGAATTCATATTTACCTGGTTGGCAGGCAGCATTTCTGACCTGCAATTAAATTAGGATTCTCTATTCAGAAAAGGAAATATATTTAAGGGCAGGGCCGAGCAGAGGTTAAACTTTTGTTTTTGATTAGGATGAATGTAGCTTAACATTCTGTCCTCCATCATTCCCTTCCTACAGGAGCATCAGGGGCTCTCCTCCCTCCTTTCCCCTCTGGCACTTCCCCCTTGTTGTGACATCTCTCTTTCACTCCCTCTCTCCGCCTCTGGATGAACTACAGACACATGAGGGGAAGGAAGTGGAAATAAAGGCAGAAAACTAGATTAATGTGCTGAATGGTGCACAGAGAGGGAGAGCAATGTTGAGAAGATGGAGGAGAGAAAAAAGTAGAGGGAGAGAGGGAGAGGAAGGCTGAGCTTGAACAGGCTTTCCTTGTGCTACTGTGAATAATTTATTTTATTCCACACACATGCACTCTCTTGTATTCAAGAGTATTCAAGATCAATTCAACAGGGGGTGTGTGAGCTGATTAATGGCCAATTAATGTTTAACGAGGTACAGCTGTGTTCAATTAACACTGGTTTAGGCACTATTTCTTTCAACACCCCCTCCCTTTCTCTCCCTTCATCAGATATCATACCTTCTCCTGCCCCTGATTCCTCACTCCAGCAAGTCTTACTCAAGAGAGAGAGAGAGAGAGAGAGAGAGAGAGAGAAAAGAAGGTTGTTCCAGTAAAACTGAAAAGCTTACTGGATACATCAATAACTGACCAGTTACTTGGTCAGTGATAAACTTATCCAGTAAGTATGTGTGGACACCAATGTGTCAGGACTCAGCTGGACATTTCCATGGCTGTTTACTTATACTTTAACACATTCTGAGTGTAATGTTAAGCCGATCTTTCCTTTGCCTAAGTGAACCTGCCCTGACAGAAAGTGGGCTCAGCACATTGCTAAGACTTGGCAAGTATGCCTAAGATTACCCATAACACCCTTCTGTGTAAAGATTCACCTAAATATCTTCATGGATAAAGGAATAGTTTGGAGAAATATATTAATTTGCTTGCTTGCCAAAAGTTAGATGAGAAGAAATGCAAAAAATAACAAGGTGGGGCTTTACACCACCTCTCTGCCTAGAGAAGTAGCTTCCTAAAATCTGTGCTGGTTTCCTGGAAAAGTTACAATTATTTCAGGACTTCAGGATGTCTGCTTCCTGCCTTTATAATAAGTGAAGTGAAGTGAAGCTAATCAGCTGTTGTCTGCCTTATTACAGACATGAGAGAGGTGCTGATCTTCTAATATAGCTCTCAGCAAAAAAAGCAAATAAGTAACACACAAAATATCAAACTATTCATTTAAAGGAATTGTTTTTGCTACTAATTATTCAGTTGTCTTGCAGAACACATGGTTTGGATGTTGTGACTAACATATGTCCAAGAAAACCCAATTTTTAAAGGACACTTTCTAGTGGATGATCTGTTTTGACATTCGGGGAGTCTGCATAGTCACTGTGAACTGACTCATGGAAAACATCACGTTTCCATTTTAGTTTTTCACAGCATTTTAAAAATTGGCATAAAATTCACTTGATAGCTGAATGCAAATATAGACAGAGCTGAGAGAGAGAGAATGGTCTGGCCAGAAATAAAAAAAAAAAACTTGTTTGTCAGGGAACTGAGGAGTCCATGCTGACAGTACCACCACAGATGGTGGAAAGCTCAATGTACAAGGAAGCACACCGTACCCACACCTGCAACCCATATGCTTTAAGCTACACTGCAGGACAAAGGAGGACTTACTCATCTTTGACAATAAAAGTCTTAAAGCAACATCTAGTAGCTACTGATAATTATTTTTTACTGACTCATTATTTTCATTTTTATTTAGCTGTATTTTTGATGACTTCCTGTCCTTGACCTTTTTTGTCACATTTGCTGTTGGTATACAGCAATCAGGCTGTCTGGTTTGAGATAAAGGAGTCTACTGTGTGCAGTTTACGGAATATGTGAAGGTGGTAAAGCTATCTTCTCTGTCATTGAAGCTGCCAACACAGAAAGGTCCCTGGTGTAGCTTTAAAAATGTAACACCACATGACACCAGTTCCATTCGTTCCAGAATAAGCTCGGTGTATGTTATGATGTGCAGTGGATTCAGCACACATATACTGTAACTGGTGAACCCACTGACATGAGACATTTTAATTCTCCACCATGCCTCCATTAGACCTCCTCCCTCTGCAAACAACAACCCAGTGGGCTTCTTTTTCCTCTCGCTCCTTTTTCTTCAACCAGTCTTATCTCTTTTTTAATCTCTGCTCATCCAATTCATCATCAGCCTGAAGCCTCTCCCTCCCTCCGTTTGTTTTTGTTTGTCCAGAAAAAATACACCACTGGTCTCAGTTCAGATCTTCCACACTATGTGTGGCTACAGTGCCCCAAGATTATAGAACCTGTTTGACCTGCGGTGACCACTACACACAAACACGCACAGTGCGATCATGTTATATGTAAATAAAAGAGAGGCGGAGAACAAGGAGACGAGAGAGCAACAAGGGATGCAAAGTGCTGCAACTGTCTGTTGGAGTTAGAGCCCATGGCATGCTTTTGCTTGTTTTTTGATTTATCTACAATGTTACAATGGTGAATTATCATCTTAGATGTGACCTAAAGATTTAAAAAAATGAGCTGTTCGTATGTTCTAGCATTTCTATGCGGTTCTAACTCGGTTTATACAAGTCTTGCAAACTCTAGCTCGAGACTTTTTTCTAAGAAAAAGTATTACGTGATAGTTTAAGGATTTCCTTGAATGGGCATAAAATCTAGGTCGTTGTGCACTCGTGTGAGCTTGCCTGACATCCACCAGCGCCCCCACCATATTTGCAAAATGTTATATTGCCTTGCTTGTTATATGTATTTTCAAAAAGGTTCATGACATCCACCTGTGCCATTGTAAAAGCGGAATTCGACTGAGCCTTGTGGATATAGTTTACCTCCTGCTGCACTGTGACCAGAGGATATGAAGACAAATACAGGGCCTAAGGTTACTGCATGTCCGAGAATGTTCCTGTTCAGGGACTCACTGTTTTATCTGACTAGGTCTAACCTACAAGCAGCTGGTCTGTGAAGCCCCTGCGGTGGTTAGCGTTCAGCTCATCAACGCTGGATTCCCCTGGAGCACAGCACCTGTTTGTTTTGACCGCTTGAGGCCAGTGTGTCTGCTGCATGTGATGTGTTGATGGTTAACGAGTATAGATTAATGATCCATGATGTTATTGTCGGTGCTACACTGCCTGCTGGAATTAATGTCTCTGCTTTGGGACTGTATGTGGGCAAAGACGCAGCGACCACGAGTTTACCAATCTTGAAGCTACCTGAAAGGGAGTGATGTTTCCACTACTCGGTGGGACTTAATGGTAAGTTTAGAAACCCCCCCCAAAAAAAACCATTGCCCGTCTGGTAATGCCTTGTTTCTGTAATGTTAGAGAGAATTGTTATAAGGCTGGTGAAGTTACTATGTCTGCATTATGCCAGTTAAATATGGGTTTACTCAATTACCCACTTTGTTTGGAGTGTTACACATCTCTTTTCATCGGTACATATACCGTTGTTTATCTACCTATGGAAAAGAAATTCAAATTAACGTTGTTGCGGTTCATTTTGCTGTCCACTTGTGACAACACTGGCAACAGGAACTGTGCGCGTTCACAAACTGTCCTCTCGTTTTAAGGAAGAGGCTTTTTGGCTCTCTGCCTCTGAAACAATTACAAACTATTTGGAGTTATGAGGGGTGCCAAGCTAATCTAGAGGTACCCAAGATTAAACATTAAATGGCTGGAAATGAGCAAAATGAGCAAGTTATGGGCACTTTCAAGTGTGTATGCACCCGTGTGACTGCAGGTGTGTGTGTACTGCATGTCTGTTTTTTCTATTTTGGCTTACATTACAATGTGATACCTGTACCCATTTGTTCACAAACATGACTGAGACAGAGAAAAGGAGAAAGAAGAAGTGGGATAATTCTCTGTCTTCATCCCTGCTCTTCCTCTTTATCTGTTCCCTTTCTTTGTTCTCTACCTCTCTGACAGTTTCCCTTGCTCTCTTCATCCATCTCTTCTTCCTCCTCTCCTTTAATCACTCCTACTCTCCTCTCCACTGCTTTCATCTTTGGATACAGGCAAAATGTGGTTCAGCTTCCTCTGAAGACCCAGCAGGTGTGTGGCGTGTCTTATTGTATGCAAGTGTGTGCAAAATGTGCTTTAAGTCATGCATACGAGTTTTTTTTTTCTTTTTATTAAGTCATATTGGGCTTGTATTTGTAGTTACTGTATGTGTGGGTTAGCTGTGTGTGCATTGGAGATATCTTATTTCCTCGGGGGACTACAGGCCCATTTCCACTGTCTGCTGTAGCCAACCAACCCAGCAGCACATCGATAATCTATTAGTGCAAGCATGCACTTGCACACACATATGCACAGATATGCTTGTTCCTCTTACCTACCATATCTGGGCACATTCTGGGTGTGTACTGACTGTACAGTAAGTGTTTGGGCCAGATATTGTTTCTACCTGAAAAGCATATATACCACAGATACAAGTAATTAAACACACATACGCATTTATTATGTAATGCTATGCTTGAATAAATCGCTGCTTCACATTGCATTATAACCCCTTGTGCAGACTACCATGTACACCACTTGGTCAAAAGTGTGTAGACACTGAAAATTACATCCACATGTGGCTGTTGAACATTTCATTCCAAAGCCATGAACATGAATCTGCTCCTGTCACAGTCTACATTGGATCCTCCCTGCAGGGATTTGCTCCCATTCAGCCACAAGAGCATCAGTGAGGTCAATGCTCCATTTCATCCCAAAGATCTGGGATGGGGTGACATTAGGGCTCTATGCCAGCCAGTCAAGCTTTCCACACCAAACCTAGGAGTTTGATGAAGGTAGGAAAAGATTTCTTTATGATCCTTGCTTTGTCAATGGGCCATAAAAATGGCGTGTACTTTGACTTAATTTCATTCATTTTCTTTTTTTGCTATATATTAAAAACTACTATAACTAAATATGAGAATCTGAGCCAACATGTTTACTTGGGTCTCAATAGTCAAATCACCCCAACACAACAAATATGCAATAATACAAAACAGGTAGAGTGGGTGGTCTCCTAACTGAAAGGTTGGCAGTTTGATTCCCGGCTTCTCCAGTGCACATGTCGAAGCGTCCTTGATCAAGACACCAATATTACTAGTGTGTGAATGCAATTGGGTGAATGGGCAAATAGTTTGAAAGCGCTTTGAGTGTGATGCAATGCATTGAAAAGCACTAGGGTATGTACATATTAAGATTAAAGAATGTTCGATTATATTTTAGCCTGGATACAACAGAAAACATAGCCAAAATACTTATCCCCCACAAAGACAGGAAGACAGCATAGAACATATGGATAAGCATTTTAAAAGTACACAAGACAGACCTGATGTAATTTGGTTTGCACATTTGAAAATAGACCTGCACATCACTCACTCACACACACACACACACACACACACTCACCCATATATTAATATAAACAGAACCCAATACCAACTTTACAGTGTGGTACTGATTACAGCTTCCAGACAAGACATACACCCACTGTCATTATATCCGCAGAGATCCAAACAAGACACAACACACACACACACACACACACACACATACACACGGAGAAAAACGGACACTCAAAAACACACAGCCAGACAAAAATACACATACAAGATACCAGCATGACGTAAGAAAGTGCAATTTCAGACAACACAGCAATTAAAGCTAAAGCCTGTTTATCATCCACTTAAGTAGGACAGGAGGAGCTAAGCCCCAAAGATGCAGCTTGTTTACAATAACACAGGCATGCACAGATAGTATAACTGTATTGTAAACACCATCCTGCTGCCAACATTGATTTTAGCTGCATACAGAACTACAGCAGGATTTTGTGTTATATAAAGAGGGCCATATAAAGCCCAGATGGATTTTGGGAATGTTGCAATAGTGGGCTCATAAACATAAGACATTAAATACTAAGGAAAGTAGAAATTGATGATTTTGACTAGAATATATTGTGGATTCTTTTAAGCGTATTTTGATTAAATAAAGGGCTACAAGAAACTAACTGGTTAAACCGTATTAATGTTAATTGTGAAAAATCTAATTCCTAGAGCTCATTGTGGTCTTCATTGTTCATTTTAATTTAACCAACAGTTCAAACCATAAGATGTAATTAAATGTAAACATGTATAAAACAAACAAGGAGTCAAGTGACTGATCAAACCAGCAGGTTAATTTTCTGTTCATTAACACCCACCAACCCACACACACACACACACACACACACACACACTGATGAGCAAAAGCATCCCATTTATCCTGAGTTGTTTCAATTTCTAATCACCTTATTTTAGAACTGAAATCAGTCATGCTGTCACAATTTCAAATCTTTAAGAGCAAACTCAAGCAATAATTTCAGCTAAATCCTTAAATATTCCATCCAACATTTTTCATTCCATCTGCTATTTTTCTCTTTGGATAATCCCTAAATTCCTGTATCTTGGAATTCCACAACAGATTAGCCTTTTGCTAAAAACCACTTCAGGACCAAGAGGAGGGGGACCAGGAGGAGGGAAAGGAGGAGCAAAGGAAGGGGATGAGGAGAGGCAGGGAGTCCTGTTGTAAGAAGGTAGAGGTCTGTGAATCTTGCTGGGCTTGCAGTTCCCTCTGCAGACATGTTTTGAACATGTTGAAGAATGCACTTTCTCCATCTCTCTATTCTAATCCCCCTCCTACCATCCTGTCTCCCTCCTCTCTTTCACCTTCCTTAGAGAAGAGAGGTCTGCAGGTAGACACACACAGTTGGGACAGCTCACAGCAGCTCCCATGATCCCCCTGACAACAGCCTGAGGGCACACACATGGGCACACATGAACAGAATCACAACAGAGAAGGGGAAAGACAAGGGAGAGAAACGAAAGTGGGGCCCTGGGATGGAGCCTTGAGGCACTCCAACCTGGTGACACTGCTGCAGCAGCAGCAGGAGTTTCCCTCTGGCCCCTCAGCTGCTATGTCCAGCTAACTGTTTGGAAGCAGCTCTACTCCTGTTTGCTAACTGCCTTTGTTTGGAAGAACACAATGACTAGCCCCTGCTCTCTAATTTACAGGGGAGTTGGCTCAGTCCTGTGAGTGGAATGTACAGTGAGAGCAGCTTGCATTTCATGACAGGGTGGAGAAATCTGAGCAGGATGGGGTGGTGGGTGGGGGAGTGGTGGGGGGGATTTACTGACCAGAGTGGAGCTACACTGAGGGAAGGGTGAGTGAGTTTAGCTGCTATATTTACATGACCTGTCATTTTAAAGTCGTGGTCTGTTCCTACACTGTGGGTCAAGGAATGAGCCACTGATATGTGGACTGTACTCACAGATCTGCAAGCACAACTGCAATGAGGCACTTCAGTCTTCAGTACCTTTAGTAACCAAACCTGTTGTACCTGCAAAGCTGCAGCATTATCCAATGCACACAAAGACATCCACAATCAAGCAGTAAGCAGTGTAAATAAAGGACAAGTTAAACGTTTCAAAAAAATGAATGCTGAAACCCATATTAGGCAAACAGAAGGCCACATTAAACACAGAAAGCTATTGAAGCTTCCTGAAATGCACACAAAGCATATGCAAACAGGCACACACTCACTCCGTCTCGAAACCACCACCCACTCAATCCCACTGTCACCTTAGTTAACCTACAGCATACTGCAACTGCTGCTAAAGCAGCTAGGAGAAATACAGAATGGTGAGGAAGATGTACATAAAGAGGAAAAGCAATTGAAGATCTGTTAGTTTCAGTGAACTAGTGCAACACTTGAAATGAAAGGGGATGAAAGAGTGAGTAGAAGAGGGGAAGATAGAGAACATATGGTGCATGGGGACATGCTTTCCTTCTCCTTCCCCTCATCTCACACACCTGGGACCATTACTCCTTGTGGAATCAACACCCAACTAAAACCTTACTTTCTTTAATTAGTTCTCTCTCTTCCTCCTCCATCCATATGCTCTCATCTCCTGTTGCCTTTTCTGTCTCTCCTCCAATCTGGTCCATCTCTTTTGTCCCCCCCATCATCATGATGTATTACTAACTTGGATTTGTTTTCCTTTTCTTGTTCAACTACCCTTTTAGGGTTACTATTAAACAAAATATTGTCAAAGCAATGTATAAAATGTGTAACTCTCTCACTTTTGATGTTTATTGCCTCTGTACTGTATAGGTCTGTTTGTCTGGGCGTGGTAGGGAGACTGTGAGAAACAGGATTGAGGAAGTTTGACTATTGCAACACTACTGCTTAAAGGATAAGGTCGGCCATTTTCTATATTAACGGTACTTTCAACAATCCCCATATGAGACTAAAACCAACAATGAGTTGCCTCTGCTCACTGTTAATGTCTATCAGTCTGCAACCTGGATTATCTTATTTGTCTGTGCCATAAACCTCTGCTGCTCCAAACGGCCATAAGGTTTTACAGCATCTGGAAAAAGCAAGGGTCAACTGTGTATGGCTGAGTTCTCCATGTGAGCTCATTGCTTTTTTTTTTTTTTTACAGTTTGTTAGCTCCTTGAGTTTTCATGGAGATCTTGTTCATGCACAGTTGACTCTTGCTTACTTTGGATGCTGTAAAATCTTATGGCCATTTAGAGGTTTTGGGACAAACATTTTTAACAAATGTGCAAGTCTGGTGTTTTTATAACATCACCCAGTCCAGCAGTGTGTTTTCACTTATGTGTTTTTACTCATTTTTGAACAACAATGGAGATCTGTGTCACAGACCAATAAACTAATCCAGGACCGACAGACATTAACCAGGAGTAGAGACAATTCACTGCTGGTTTTAGTCTCTGCATAGGGTCTGTTGAAAATACTGTTAATATCGAAAATGACTGGCCTTTTCCTTTACCGTATCAATGACAAGACAGAGGAGAGTACATCAGAGTGAGTGAAAGCACTCTAGACATGACACATATCAGGTCTAGCTGCACATAGTCATATTTCCATAACAGACAATGATACTAAACTAGAATTAACACTTCGTGACTACATACCTCCACCAGCCTGTCAAATTTATGGGTA